GAGGGACTGACTATGCCGGCTTGTGTGCTGCTTGCACGAGGGCCTTGGCTATTTTAGGCGTCAGCTAATCCATTCAATGCATAATGCTGCCACCGATGACTCACAGTCCGCAGCAGTCACATTAAAAAATAGTGGAATGAAAGAAAACCCATTAGTAGACCTGCAGTAAGTACATCGTCACAACACACCGTACGAGCACGCACGCACAAACACCCACACCCACACCAGGACAGCTGGGAGAAGAAAATGGCACTGAATATTAAGCAGCTACCAAGTAAGTCAGGGAAACAGTCACCCCGGCAGGATCTGGAAGCGACAGACAGCCCTAATACCATACGGAGCTTGGCATTTAGAAAAAGAAGCAGTCAAAGGAAAGTGTCAGCCCAGAGCACTTTACAAATAAATTTTACTACAACTCTACTGAGCAAATACTCTTCGGAAAAGCTGAACCTAGGGAGCGTGAGACAGAGGGAGGGGAAGGCTGCTCGTAAGATAGAACACTGCTGTGCCAGACAGAAGCCAAAGCTCCCCAGGTGGGGGTGTCCTGGGTAGGGGCTCTCCCAGCACGCACGTTGCCGACACCCTTTTTGCAGAAAAGGAGCACATGAGTCCCTGTTTTTTCACTGGTTCTCTTACTCATCTGGAGGGCTGGATCACGAGCCCCCAAGTCCAGCTCATGCTCAGAAAAGCAGATGGTATGTACATGCTCACGTGGGCTAGCGCGAGGTCGTTTAGCCTCACTGATAGAAACAGCAGTGGTGGTGCTCCTACACCACGAGAACATGGGCAGGGCAAAAACAGCTTGTCACGCTCATTGGAAAAGTTCATCTTCTTCCCAGGCTTTCATAGACTATCTCTCCTCCCATAAACTCTTTTAAGAGTATGAGGGCTTTTATTTATTTTTCAGAAGCGAACCATTCTTCTCTCAGGGCCAAAGTCACCTAAGTTGTAGCAGAAAAGAGAAAACTAATATTGTACAAAGTCCCAGTGCTATTGACCGGTAGAGAATAGATTCAGACTTAGATCTTTCGGGCTCCAGGTCCTACATTTTCCTACTTCCCACCCAAAAAAGTGTGATGCCCCATCCTTCTCTGGAGTGGCGCTGGCTCCCATGTTGATACTATTGCCCGAGGGTCCCATCTGGGACTCACCGCAGACTTATGGTCTCAAACTTGGAGAACATGAAGTGGATTATTTTTGGGAGTGAGGCCTGAGGGAAGTGATTCTGTTGTGCTTTGGGGCTCTCAACCAGAATCAAGCATGGCAAAGCAGTATTTCTCCCATCTGGAGCCAAACGTGCTTACTGTCCTCTCCCCGAAGAGGAAGGAGGGGTGCACACAGTGATAATGGACACCACCTGGAGTTCCCCTTTATTGCCCTGGAATCCACAGCACCTGGGCTGGGGGGAGGCCTGGGAGTGCAAAGATGCTTTGCTGTGCAGAGAAATACTGCACCGAGGATGGCAAAGCCACAGGGATAGTGACAAACACGGGAGCGTTTTCCTCCTACACTGCCTCTTCTAGAGCGTCAGCCAGGACAACATTGGAGGCATCTTGCCACTCTAATACTTAGAAATTCAGCTCTGTAAAAATATCACCAAGGTAAAAACCCTTTAGTTTTACTTTTACACGGGGTGACTTTAGTCGCCTACTAGGTCTACGTGCTGATTAGCATGAGGTCCGTGAAGGTTCTCCTTAATCCCCCCCTTGGTTTTTGGTTAGCCAATGCCAATAAATTTTACAAGGGCTGTTCTGGAAGGTAGAAAGGTGAAAGACTAAAAAACTGAGGAGGCTCAAGAGATTATGTTGTATAAAGAATGGCTTGCTTATTTTAGAAAGGAGAGAAACTGCAGCTCAGAGAGGCGAAGCACCTTGTCCTGCCATAGATTTGAAGCCAGGCCCCAGGCTGTCTCCCTACTATACCCCACCACACCCCAATGGGAATGACCTTGGGAGTGTTTGTGAAGTCAGGCATCCTTGCAACTGCCTGTTCATGCAGAATTTATGCCTAGGGTCACAAAACCATCTGTCTTGTAGAAAACCATTCCTTCTTCCAAAACTTCCCCAACCAAACTTGTGATTTTTGCTAATTAGGTTCAACAATGTGCACATTTCTAAATTTCCCTGTGGAGGCGAGTGTTAGTGACGCCTAACCAGCTGAGAAGACCTGGATGATTCTTCAGGCCAGAGGAGACTGCTCCCCACACAGGCACCGCCAAGGGAGAGGAGGATGCAGCCCTTGGAACCTCGTTTAAGTCCAGATGTTAGTTCTCTCTCTCCCTTTCCCCTCCCTCTACTCCCATTTCTCTCTCTCTCTGTCTTCTGACTCTGAACCTGTCACTCCTGGCAAGCACAGCTAGTGGAGTATTTTCGCTGTGATGATGTCAGCTGATTTCCGATAGGCTCCTCGATAAAGTGACAAATCACTGGCTGCATCGGGGTCTTGTACTTCTGTTTGGATGACATGAAACCCAAGCAGCCTCTTCAGCAGACCTCAGCCCTCTCGCCTGTCCCAGGCACACTGCACAGCCACACACGAGCTGCCCCGACAGACCTGCCAACAGGCCAGGACAAACCTTCTGCCTGCTCGTTTGCACCCTGGCTGTCAGCGAAGAGACTCAGTGTTCTAGCTGTGGGAAGGAGATGAGAACAGAGCTCCGACCGCACAGGGAAGCCAAACTCTATCTACGCGTTCACTTTGTGAAGTTCTAGGCAGGGGTAAACTCGTCTAGATTCTTCCTCTCCAAGAACTGAAGAGGGCTGTGGAGCTCTCACAGCCTGGCAGACATGGTGGTCAGTAACCAGTAGCATTTCAAAACAAAACCTCATTCCCTACCTGCCTGTGTTCACGATAATGTTTTTAGGGATTCAAAGTATCATGAAAAGCACAATTATTCTTCACTCTTGTTTATTTCCATGCTTCGCTTGGGGCCGGTAAAGAGTCAACTTTGCTCAAGGCGATTAACTTTCTCTCTTCTAGTACCCACGCCTATTTCATGTAGGAAGTAGCAGAAACCAGAGATGGGTGGTGAGTTCTAAATAACGATGCCATTTCTTAAAAAAAATTAATCCTGATTTTTGCTCTTTTTTTTTTTTTTTTAAATCAGAACTTTTGAGAAATCTTTCTTGGGCTTCCCAAAGACTGTAAGACCACAGTAAGATATCACAATAACAAAGACAAGTATGCAGGGCTAAGGGCTCTCTGTAACGCAGGCCCCTGGCTTTGTGCAAGACCCCACATCTAGTCGTTCCTGAGCGGTTCTGGAAAACGCTTCAGAACATTGGTTTTGTCCCTCCTGCACTTGGTCTCTTAAAAAATGCTCGAAGCAATTCAAACCAGTGACTAGTTTATCTTTTTTGCTTGTTTCATTTTCTCTGAATGTCTCCAGTAGCAGCTATTCCATGACTGTTTTCAACCAAAACCTGAAGGAAGTTCTGTTCTATTCCAGTGTTTTAAAGTCCTCAATGGAAGCATTTCTAGAGAGTGGTCAGGCCGGGGAAGTTCCCAGCTGGAGGCCAAACCTGTTTGACTCCCAGCAACTTGGGTAGTGATATAAACGGGCTTTGGAATAAATGTGTAGGGATCTAAGAGCCTCAGAAAGGGTGGATTGAGGAGCCCGTGGAAACCAAGAGTTCATCGTTCCCCCAATTTTAACGTGACTCAGCTGACTCTACTACAAGTCCAGCAGGTCACTTGGGACAGGCCTGACTTTTCAGATTGTATTAACTATGCCTTTTATTTTCTGATGCTTTGACATTTCAGGGCCTTGCTGCTGCTGGAGCGACTGCCCCTGCTAGGACTGGCTAATTCCTAGAGATAGCAAACCACTCCACGGGGAGTCTGCCTCTCATATGCGAGCCCACCAATCCACAGCCCATGCCTTAATCACCTCCTATATTGATCTGTCACTCCCAGGGCCACTATCCACCTGTCCTAATCACTGCAGGCCAGCTACCAGACAACTAGGGACAGCCCCTCTGCCCAACAGCCCACCACAATTATTCCCACAAGCCAATCCTAAACCTTCTTATCCTGCCTCCCCCATTCCTTCCCACAGAAACCATAGTAAAGGCTCTTGTCTGTGTGTTCCCCTCACTCCCTCTGCCTCCTGAGTGACCTGGTACTTCTCCTTGTGGCCCCCCCCATGGCGTGGTGTGCCACCTTTTCTTGGGATCGGAGGTATAACAGACCATCTTTTCAAGTCATCTCCTGGTCTGTTGGCCTTGCCACACCTAAATAATAATACATATAAAGATATTTTAGAGATGGGGTCTTGCTATGTTGCCCAGGCTGGAGTACAATGTCCATTCACAGGCATAATCCTACTACTGATCAGCACAGGAGTTTTTACCTGCGCCATTTCCGACCTGGTCACCCCTCCTTAGGCAACCTGGTGGTCCCCGACTCCCAGGAGGTCGCCATATTGATGCCAAACTTATTGCAGACACCTGAGTAGCACAGTGCCCTACAGTCCAGAACTCCTGGGCTCAAGTGATCCTCCCACCTCAGCTTCCCAGGTAGCGGGCACTATAGGCATGAGTCACCACGCCCAGCTAATGAGCCCTGTATTTTAAAACACAGGTGTTGTAATGGGATGTGATGGCTTCAGCATCTAATGTCCTTACCCTGACAGCATCCTCTATCTTTTCCTGGTAAGACAAAGCGCAGAATGACCACTAGAAAGTCCTGCAGACTTTCTCAATCGGGGTCATCAACTGGGGTCCTTGGCTTGATTTTCTGAATTGTCCCAAGGGGAGAACATAACTGGCCCCACTCTGGATGCACAGAGGTTAATTCATTACAAATGACAGATGCCATGGGGAAGCAGGGCTTAAAGTTCTTGGAGAGCATAGTCCCGACACGCTGAGTCTAAGGTCTAGATATAAATGAGAACCCTTCATGCTGCCTCACAGAAGCAAGGCATCTTGCCAGGAGACAATGACAGCGCTGTGGTGGGGCGTCCCCCTGCCTGCGGGACCCGGGACCCGCGCCAACATTACCTGCGCTCGGTGCTCCCCGACGGCGAACTGTATCACGGCGACGCCCGGGCTGTGGCTGTCCTCAATCCTCTCCACGGTGCTGGAGTCGATTTTCAGGTCGTTGCTTATCTCCGCACTCTGGATGAAGTCTTCCGTTTTTAAGTCTTCCACCTTCTTCAGCTCCCCGTTGGCCAGCTGGATGATGGAGCCTTTCATGAAGTAGGGGGGCAGCGTGGGGGCAGGCGCCGCCGGGGACGCCACGGACTGCACCACGGGCAGGTGGATCTGGGCCTGCACCATGGCCGGGTAGGCGGCCTGCGTGCCCAGGGCCTCGGGGCTGAAGTTCTCGCTCTTGGGAAGGGCCGTGGTGACGAAGGTGTGAGGCACTGCAGCGAACTGAGGGGACGACGTGACGATGGCAGGGGCTGCCCCCGACGCTTCCACGTCAGCGCTGCCGACCGGAATGAGCAGGGGCTGCGTGCCAGGGATCACCAGGTGCTGGGGCAGGCTGCCGGCGTAGGTGATAGCTTGCTGCTGGCCGCTCAGGTAGCCGATGACAGGGGGTTGGGTCCCCGCGTAGAAGGCTGTGGCTGGCAGTCCCACCGGGAGTGGCTCTGAGGCGCTGTGTGTGGTCTGGATGACCGTGTGGGGTGACAGCGCGTAGGACCGGTGGCCGGGCTTCCCCAAGTGCAGGCCGCTTTTGTCGTTGAGGGTGGAGGGGGAGGCCTCGCGGTGAGGGGCGTGCGGCACCTCCATGTCGGCCGCGGGCGTGCTGCTGTTGGGCAGGACCATCACCGAGGCCCGGACGCCCGCGGGGTCGCGGCCGCCGTAGTCCGCGGCGCTCGGGTGCACCACCACGTGCCTGGACTCGTACGGGTGAGGGACCGACTTGCTGCCTGCCTTGCCCAGGCCCAGGTCGGCCGCGGACGGAGCCCCGTAGCGCCGGCTCTTCTCCATCTCGCCGTTGAGGACCTCCTTGGCCTGCGCGGCCTGCTGCAGCCTGCTGCTCTCGGCCTTCTTGGCGGACTCCCGAGGAACGAAGTGGCCGCCGGAGTCGGTGTACTGCACGACGACCTGCGAGGAGGGCCCCAGCGTGAGCGTGTGCGGGATCATCGTCTGGTGCGGGTGCAGGTGGACGGGGAGGGCCGGAGGAGACGCGGTGCGCCCGGCGCTCTGCGGAGAACTGGAAATGTGGACGTACTGGTTCTGCTGGGCGGGTGGGGGCGACCCCGGGGTGATGAGCCCCGGAGCCCTGCCGAGGTGCTGCTGCTGCGGCTCAATCTTGTGTCCCGGTGCCTGGCTCAGGCTGCCCACGTTGGCCAGCAGAGTGGAATAGGCCTCCAGCTGGGAGCGCTGGGATGGAGTGGCGGCCCCCGCGGCGGAGGCCACCGAACTGGTGACGGGGTTGGCCGTCGGGGAGATCAGCTGTGACGGGATGAAGCCGGTGTAGGGCCCGCTGTACTGGGAGGACCCAATGAACTGGAAGGTGTGCGGCAGGTGAGTGTACTGCACGGGGGACACCGGAGTCCCTGACTGCGGGGGAGGGTACGCCGTAGGCAGCGTGGTGGCCGCCGGGACAGACCTGGGGGCGCTGGGCGGGGAGTAGTCCAGCCCCGTGGACAATGCTTTGTGTAAACCTATTCCCTGTTGTAAACCAAGCTCCGCCGCCGAGGTCCCCGCCGGCCCGTGCCTCCCACCGCCATGGCCCCGGCCACCAGGGTTGCCTGGGAGCCATGCCGCGCCCTCCGCCCGGTGGTTGTCGCTGGGCAGAGCGGGGGCCTTCTCCTCGGAGGACCGGCTGGTGGCGGGGATCTCTCGCTTCTTGGGAGGCAGGCATTCGTTGCTCCGCTCTTGGTTGGATTTCATTTTTCGCCGTCCCCCCTCCACGGTGACTGTTTCACTGTCTGGCTGGCTCTGATTTTAGTCTGATAAATGGAAAGTCACATTTGATTTCTGTACGGGATCCAGGCTCTTCATGAGGAATCATCTCCCCTTGGGTACAATCCGCCAACAGCAGCTCTGGATTCTGGGAAAAGGAAGAGGGCGGTGACAAGGGGAAGAGGAAAGGGAGGAGAAAGGGAAGGAGGGAAAGGAAATCAAAATATCAGCACTGGGGGAAAAACACACTTGGCAAGATTACAACTAGGTCTCCGGATTCAATGTGAATTCCAAAAACCCGATTATAGCCCTAGCATTAAAGCAGATTAAACGCTAGCCATGTAGGCTGGCACATCACGAAGGAAGACTATTTAGACACTGAGCACATCAAAACTTTAAGGCATATACTTTTTATGGCGTTAACAAGTCCCCTGAGACACATTTAATACCATCTTCTCTTTTTTCCCCTCTTTTTCTTAGACTGTAGACAATGCAGGTCTTAATTTTTCTTTTCATAAATGTGGGTTCCATTGCTCACCTCTTCTTTACCCGGCTGGAAAAGTGAATGAAGCCCATGGGTGGAGCGGGGGAGGGAATGACACCAGCTGGAGTGTGCCCTCAGTGCCAGGCACTGGGAAGGAGCAGTTAGGAGCTAAAGTCCTGAGCATCCTCATGTGTTATTTCTGAATCCTCCTATGCAAAAGCCACTACTTTTGAAGGTTCCACCTGGCTCTGGGTCCATACTGGATTTATAACGATTCCCTCTTCCTTAATCCACACACACGCACGTACACATGCCCCAACTCTGCGGAGGCAGCCAAAATTAATCCTGTTCTCTACAAGTTTCCAAAGAATTCCCAGTACAGCCACTCATGCTTACAGAATGAGACAGTGAAAAAAATGAATTAGATTACGGTTACAAAAACCCAAGTAGGATACAATAACAGGGCTGATGCATTAAAGTTTCCTTAACAAGGGTTACACACACTTGCTTCATCCCTGTCTCTTTCTTCCTGTCCCAGTTGTCTTTGAGTTTTCCCTTCATACCATCCCCTCACTTTCTCCTTAGAAAGGGCCAACTCACCATTAACACTAGAGATGACTCCTTTTTCAGACAAATCAGACCTGTGTGTTCAAACCGGGACATACGAACAGTGATCCTGGAGCCAGTTCTTATGGACAGGTGTCTTAGTCTCTTAGCAACCACTGAACTCCGACTTATCATCACTGTGTGAGCAAACCAATGCCCAACTGGCAGGAGGCAGAACATCAATGGAACCAACGTGAACCACGCCAACAAGCAGCAGAGGTGAGTGCCCCCATAGGTAGCGGATGCAGGTGTGAGCAAGGTAGTGGGTGCTGTGATCCTGAGAGCTGTGAGATTGGGCTTTGGGAGTTCCAGGCCCTCGAGTTTTGGCAATTCTCATACTCAGATCTTCTTTTGATCAATTTTAAAACAAACATAGTAAGGCAGAAGCCCTTCAGCATTCAATCCTTGCCCATGCTAGAGCAATGGTGAGGTCCCTATTGTAACACAACCTCCCTTCCTCTCCTCTCCTCTCCCTAATTTATGACTTTTTTTGGGCGCGGGGAGAAACAATGATTTGGTTCTGCTTCAACGTCATCAACAAACATCACAATGAAATGACAAATGACACAAAAGAAAGTTCCCTATCCTTAATGATTTTGATCAGGTATATAGGAAGGTGGAGGTTTAGAAATTTGGTGTCTCAACATAAAAGGATAATTCTATAAGCATAGGATTTCTCATATGACAAGAGAAGCACTTAAAGGTAGGGCTGGAAACAAAAAATAAAAAGACCTAAAACATTAATGCTAAAGAAATGAAGAACTGCCAGGATCCAAGGAGTTATGTCAGGGCTTTATAAGCGCCAAATAACCGTGTTCTGTACAGCCTTCTTTTATAAGGAGCTTAGCGTGTAATTTATGGCCAATATTTGTGAATCAATTACAATGACAGTAAAATTAAACTACAAAAACATCAAAAAAGTTGTCCCTTTTGGCTGCCTGAAAAGTACTTGTAATTATGTTTTCTCTTTAGATTTCAAGGGTTGCTCTTAAAAAAGGAAAGTAGGCCCGGTGTGGTGGCTCACAGCTACAATCCTAGCACTCTGGGAGGCCGAGGTAGGATTGCTTGAGGTCAGGAGTTCGAGACCAGCCTGAGCAAAAGCGAGACACCGTCTTTACTAAAAATAGAGAAATGAGCGGCTCGTAGTGGCCCATGCTTGTAGTCCCAACTGCTCGGAAGGCTGAGGCAGGAGGATCACTTGAGTCCATGAGTTTGAGATTGCAGTGAGCTATGACGATGCCACTGCACTCTAGCCAGGGTGACAAAGTGAAGACTCTGTCTCAATTAAAAAAAGAAAAAAAAGAAAAAGAAAAGAAAGGGAACTACAAAAGCTCCCATATTCCCATATCAACTAGCAAGGAAAATTCACTAATGGGATCTACTCAAACAGAACTGTTCCATGCGCCCCCTGCTGGTTCTACTGCAGCGCTGATCCAATAAAACGCCACAGGATTTCATTAGGGGTGTTCATGCAAGAGTGATATGTCAGAATCCGAAATGAGAATATTTGCATATAGTAGGCCCAGCCAGTAAGGGAATAGGTTAATTAGCCCAAGGCAGCTCTAGGGAAGAAAAAGCAGCAGCATAAAAGTCCTTTCAAAGCCAAGTAAAATGTCAAACACATTCAGGAAGAGGTCTATTAGCAATGCAAATGTAAAATTGCCTGTACAATTGAATGCACAATATACAAAACTAGAAAACTCCTCTGAAAGTACTTCTCAAAGAGCCCAGCTTCAGTAAATTTGAAAAAGAATGCTAACTTCGTTCTCAGTGGTGCAGAGGCTTATTTATACTGTTTACTTGGGAGACAGGGGCTGGTCTTCTGCTAATGGACCACTAAGACATACTGGCCTTAACCCACAAATTCAAATTCATTCTTCTGAAAAGTTATCCATTCATAAACAGCATTTTTTCCCCAGAGATTGCCAATGATAAATCAAGCACACAAAGATTAACAGAGAAGCTGAGTGACCTGGGGACAAACTGATAAAAATTTCCACCCATCCTCCTCCTACATTTATTAATAGAAGGACTATTTACCAGTGCAGCAGGGAGGAGACAGGACTCCCTAATTCTGTGGTATGTGCCCCTTCTCTGTGCCCCATTAGCTTTCTGTATTGTCTGTATCAGTGGAAACATGAGGGTAGGGATTAGGTCTTGCTGTACTTCCAGCGAACCACCAGCGGGTGCCACCATGCCCCGGTATTTTGGAAGATTACTACTCATGGAAGGAAAGAACAGGGAGGTAACTTATGAAGGTGCAAAGTAGAGTAAGAAATTGAAGGAAGAGGAAAAGGGATAAGAAAGAAGAAAAAAGAGTGAGACTTCTGCTTTTAGGATCTCTTTCTTTGTCCTGAATTGCCCTCTGAGGCAGGCCCAAGGAGTTGGAGCACCTGCCACAACAGAAAGATTTCTTCGAAACATGGGGACATCCACAGTACAAATGCTAAGTTTCCAGAGAACCATCTATGCAAACCACACTGTTTACATATTATTATTGGCAAAGGGAAAGTTGAGGGGGAGTTAATGCATGAATCAAGACAAATTTATTTGGGGTTTACTACCTATGGCTTGCCTGCTAATCACTGTTCTGAATATATTCATCTTAATCATCTTTATATCAGCATTTGTATCTATTTTTTTGTCCGTATTTTAAAATTTAGCCCAATTGTAGAAGAACTTGTTAGTCAAAATGTGGTCCTCAGACCAGTAACATCATCATCCCCTGAAAACTTGTCGGAAATGCAGAATCTCAGGTCCCACCCAGACCTACTATTCAGAATCTGCATTTTAGCAAGATCCCCAGATGATTCATACAAAATGTAAGGTATGAAAAACTCTGGTATAAGATTAAATTTTCCACTCCTAAACTCACAAATTAAACATCTCTAGCCACTTTCTAATAGAGAAGGCATTAGGAAACCAAACGAGGTGCTGTATGTAAACAGAGAGTTGACGGAGCCTTGGGGATAAAAAGCTAATATTTAGGTGTAGCTCAGTGGTTCCTTTGGGGTCATCTAAACCCAATATAACTCTAAATAACAAATTATGCTTTTCTTCTGGGTCTTTACAAAACTATAGAGAAACATACTTTTAAAAGGCTATAATCATACATTTTATACACAATTCGAATCATTTTCAGGAAGAAAAACAAAATTTAACAAAGTAAGCCCCACACCTACATTTTTGCTATAATTTAGTTTCAAAAATCCTTTTGCTATCACCATGGATTCAAACTGTTTGAGAAGCGATAGGAAAATGAGATGCTTCTGTGCTGGAGATGTGGGAATATATGCCCGCTGACTCCAAGTCCTGTAAATAACAACCAACTGCTCAGAACGGAAGATGCTCCTAGAAGTTGATAGATGAAGTCCTAAAAATGCATTCCAAGGCTATGGTAATAAACTGGGTTTTTCTGCCTACACCCTCAAGCCTGTGTTTCTCCGTTAGAGTGAACTCATGACTGTCTGGCGTGTATGTCTATGCACAAACGGGAGCGCAGTGACAGCTTTAAGAGGAGGAAGAACAGAAAGAGCTTGTGCCGGGACTGGAAAAACTATATATGTGACCATTTAGGGAACACAAGACCTGGACGTGAAGGCAGACATCACCAGGACACGGCAAGGATTCTCAAAGTCTTGATTCACCAATCTCTTTCCAATTTTATTACATCACTAAAGTAGAAGGCCTGTGCAGTACACTGGCAGAAGATGTTTCATTTTGGTTAAATATTAAAAACAGACCCAAATCAGACACGCTTGGAGTATCCAGGATGGAGAAAGGTGGGTTGGATAGTAGCCATAATTAGATGCCTTCTTGGTTGACTGCACAAGCATGCCCCAAAAGAAGCAGATCACACATTCATTCATCAAACACTTACTTCATTTCTAGTATGTGGACCTTAATTGTTTAGTGTCAGCATGAAGCAAATGGTGTGCCAGAACTCTATTTTAGGTCTGTTCTGTTTAACATTTTATGAGTGTTTTGGTTATCATATCTAGAGGTAACAGAAGGCTGGAAGGGATGTTTAATATGTTGTGATTAATATTTAAATATAT